TAAAGGTTATGCGTATTTGGCGTGCTGTCCGGGGAGAGGGCTCCGAGCTCTGTAACTACTCTCGAGCCCGGGGTACTCCCCCTGTCCGGGGAGAGGGGTCCGAGCTCGGGTCTAAGCCCGGACCCAGAGCGCTCCCCCCGATTGTTCCACCCCGTTCTGGGGTAGGAATGGGCTGAAGGTGAGGAGTCGGGGTGGTGGAGGGATGCTGAAAGACTAGAGATAATGGAGGTAAGGCTGCTTTGATTATTTATAGAGGTTCTCTATTGTGCTGATTGGATAGATGGTGTAATTACTGATGATGGACTGGCCGTGTTAATTATCTGCGCGTGCTCCTCCCGAAATTTGTTAATAAAACATCACTTAGTGGACTTTGTTATCCTAGGTACAACCAAAAGTCCAGAGTTTTGTGACCTTAGGGAGCGTGATGGATTGTAGCGTGGTAGAAGACTAGTTAGGTACGCAGGAGCTAACCCATTAAGGGCCTTATAGGCAAGTAATAATATTTTGTAACCGATATGGAACTTAATAGGTAGCCAGTGCAGAGACTGTAAAATTGGGGTAATATGATCATATTTTCTTGATTTTCATATTTTCATTTTTCTTGTTCAGTTCACTAACACTGAACAGTTCCATTTGTATTAACAAACATTAACAATGATTAATAGATACTAAATGTTATGCTTATTGTTAGTTAATTTTAGGTAATGCTAACTAATGGGACCTCATTGTAGAGTGTTACCAAGATAATATTTGTATTTAGTGACCAAACTGGGTTTTGATGTTTTTGACACTTAGAGAAATGCCGGCAGTAGCTCTGAAGGTACGGAGGATTCAGACTTCTCCGCTGAGCACACAGACAGCTCAGAGAGTGACGCCCATGCGGTGAGAAACACCCGCCTCACTCGCTCCTCATTGCGCCTCAGCCGCAACTCGCAAGGTAAGACACGAGACATTGTACTGATCATTTACTAAGAGCTCTTCAGTAAAAGTATGATTTACAAATAATGAGGCAATCAAGAACTTTGGGCTGTAGGAATAATGAAATTATCATGTGATTTTTGACCCAAAAGAAACAATAATTGAAATCTGAGGTGATGGGTTGATAGGTAGGAAGCATGATTGATGGAGAACAACAAACAAAAGAATGAACGAACAAACCTGAGAGCTTTGTTTCTAGATTCCAGTCCTGTGGGGAACCCGTCTGCCTCAGTTTCAGAGGAGGTGGTGAACTATTCCACCCGTCGCGTGACTCGTAGTCAACAGCAGGGGGTGTCAGTCTTGCCCAAGAAATACCCCTTGCGGCAGAGTCGTTCTTCTGGCTCAGACACGGAGCAGCATGGGGAAATCTCAGAGAGGGGTAGGAGGAGAAAACCGCATGGTTCTTCACTCATGCCTTCCCTCATTTGAGTATCTCCATGCTTTGCTCTGCTCACATGGGCTTCTCTTCATTAGTTTTTTTTCTTTCTGACAAATCACAGATTTTCCTCAGTTCATATAGCATGTTAACCATTCCAAAGTTTGGGGTCAGTAAGTATTTTTTTCTTTTCGTTCTAAGCAGCACAACTGTTTTCAACATTGATAATAATAAGAAATGTTTCTTGAACACCAAATCAGCATTTTAGAATGATTTCTGAAGGATCATGTGACACTGAAAACTGGAATAATGACTGCTGAAAATTCAACTTTGACATCACAGGAATAAAATACATTTTGAAATTTTCAAATAGAAAACAGTTATTTTAAATTGTTATAATATTTAACAGTATTACTGTTTTTACTGTATTTATCAAATAAATGCAGCCTTGGTGAGCAGAGGAGTCTTCTTTCAAAAGCATGTTAAAAAAATCTTACTGACCTTAAACCTTTAAACAGTAGTGTACATTTTCATAATCCTTTAAGATGTAAAAATTGAATTATTTGAAGTAATGCATTAGACTTACATAATAATTCATTTCATATTATTCTGTGGCTTTTGCCTACTTTTTCTGTTGTAGTTTGCTATCATTTGAATGGATACGTACCACTCTCAATTCGTTAAATTTTGTTTGTACATATACACCCTAAATTAGTTAGTTACTGTTTAATCTGTTTTTGACAATATGTTGGCTCAAGCATCAATAAAACAACCTTATGTTGCAGTTCAAAAGCATACAGCTTTTTGTCATGAATTATTAAGTGGCACTTTTAACATGAATGATCATCACTGATACCAAAAAGTTTTATACTAGTGATTATTACTGATTGACATGTGATTGACATTTTAATCTCAACTTTTGAGAGACGTGGTTAGTACAGTATGTGGTTAGCTACACCTTCACTTTAACCTCCACTTGTTTTTATTGTTTTATTCTTCCTTTGCTCTGTAGTTACACTATTGCCCTTTTCATTTTATTAATGTAATGATATATTCCTTATTCCATTCTTAGATTTTATACAGTCCTGTTTTCTGTTGTGTTGGTCATCCAGACATTAAGGAAAGTGCAGACCATGATGAGTCCCCACCCAGGACGCCCACAGGCAACGCTCCTTCCTCTGAGTCTGACATCGACATGTCCAGCCCAAACGTATCTCATGATGAGAGTCTGGCAAAGGAGCTGTCTCTGAAAGAATCCGGCCTTGCTCACCGGCCTAAGCGACGACGCTTTCATGAGAGCTACAACTTTAACATGAAGTGCCCCACACCTGGTTGTAATTCACTTGGTAATTGAATTCCAGGTCCTTTATTTTATTTTATTTTTTAAATATTTACACTACCGTTCAAAGGTTTGGATGTTTTTCTTTTTCAGAAACAAGTCTGTTATGTTCACCAATGTTGCATTTATTTGATTAAAAATTTTTTTATTGTGTTTTCTATTTTCACTTATTGCAATTTATTTCTGTGATGGCAAAGCTGTCATTACTTTTATACATTACATTATAATTTTCAGCAGTCATTACTCCAGGCTTTTGTACCATATGATCCTTCAGAAATCCTTCTGACATGCAGATTTGGTGCTTAGAAAACCTTTCTTATTATTCATTTCTTATTTATGATTGTTGAAAACATTCATTCTTTGATAAATAGAAAGGTAGAAAGAGCAGCTTTTATTTGTAATGGAAAAATCTTGTAATATTATAAATGTCTTTACTGTCCACTTTGATCAATTTAATCTGTCCTGGCTGAATAAAAGTATTCATTTCTTAAAACATTTTTACAGACCCCAGACTTTGGATGGTAGTGTATTTGTTTCAGTGTATGAATAGTGGCTTTATTTTTCTTCTGGCAAGACTGTTTTGTGTTTAGGCTTATTTAAATGCTCAAATATTTAAATTCAACCTTCATTCCTCCTTCAGGACATTTGACCGGGAAACATGAAAGGCACTTTTCAATATCTGGATGTCCACTATACCATAACCTTTCAGCAGATGAGTGTAAGGTAATGCTTATGTGTGTCGTTTGGATTAAACCTTTAGCCAGATTGTATTTTGCTTAAACGGCAAGGTTTACCTTAAAATCAAACCTTTTACTCAGGTGAAGGCAAGCTCTCGAGACAAACACGTGGAGGAGAGGACGCTGTCCCAGCGACAGGATGAGAATCGCCATTCTGCTCGGCAACAGGTAAAACAGCACACCAGGTATTTAACATCTTCCCTCTTGAACCGGTATGTGCCCATGAATGACATTCTCCAAGAGCTACTTTCAGATTTTATGTGCAGTAACAATACATGTTAAATAAATAGCCTCAACTAGCACTCACATTCTCTGAGTTACCTCCCCTCCAGGCCCAAACAGAGCGACAGCTGCGGTATAAAGAAAAGGTGACAGAGATGAGGAGGAAGAGAAACTCCGTTCCTCTTAAAGAGCAAAAAGACAAGTATACAGTGAGTGTCACATGCTCCATATTTGCAGAAAGAATGACAACAGCCCTTAGCAGATAAATGTATCAGTTTCTGATCTCTCATTGTTTGACTCTCCAGGAGCACAGACAGACCCATGGCAGCAGTCGTGAGCCTCTCCTGGAGAACATCACAAGTGACTATGACTTGGAGCTATTCAGAAAAGCCCAGGCACGTGTCTTGGATGATCTTGTAAGAGAGAAGACCCATCTCATTTTTTCCCTCGTTTTCTCCTTTTTCCTCTCTTTTTCATGAATCTGTAAAGATTGTGGTGGGCTGAGCCTTCTCACCACTGCATTCTGGGTTATGCGATGGGCCTACGCCGGACTCTCTTCCACTGTAGCCTCCACACTGCTGCCATTCTCTCATCTGTTGCATATGGGTGTTACTCAGAGTTTTAAGCAACACCCTTTAATTGTCCTACCTTAAAGGAACAGCTCCAAAAATGACAATTCTGACATTTACTAACCCTGATGTTGTAGACCTGGGTAGTGTCATCTTTTAGAGCTTGACTGAAAAAAAACTGAGTGAATAATAACAGAATTGTAATTTTTGGTTGAACTGTTCCAATAAGAGAAAACGTCTCAGGTTACGTATGCAACCATGGTTCCCTGAGTAGGGAATGAGACGCTGCGTCCTCTAGGGGTCGCTATGGGGAAAAAACACCAACAACACGTTGGCCGGCGACAGCCATGACGTCACTACTGGTGCGACTATAGTATAAATAGGCGCCGGGAGAACACATCATCCACTTCTTCGTCTGAAGCTTGCATCCGAAGCATGGCAAGAAACCTAGAGGACGCAGTGTCTCATTCCCTACTCAGGGAACCATGGTTGCATACGTACCCCGAGACGTTCCCTTTCAAGGGAACTTCGAACTGCGTCCTCTAGGGGTAGCTATGGGGAACGGTATACCCACGCCACCATGCTGAGAGGAGTGCATGCCAGAAACCATGGCGAGCACTAAGTACCAACTCTACCATAGCCATGGGAGAGTTGCCCCGGGACGTTAAGATGGCTTTCAGTGACATTATCCCCTACGGTCAAAGGCCTAGGCTACATACCCCAAAAACTTACCTGTTAGGGCCAGAACTCCTGGGCCCGGGGTAGAGCTCAAGGCTTGGAATCAGGAATAGATTCCTTTAAGGGAATACGACCAAGAGCCTAGAATCATACTAAGTCTTGGCGTGTCACACAGGGGCTACTGCATACTCTGCATATGCTGAAGGAACTGTCTCAACAGATCCCTAGTAGCAACACCCTGTTAAAGTAGGTATCCAGAGGATACATAGGTGGAGTGGTGCCCAAGGCGGAACCGGGGCTTAACCAGCTCAAGAGAGGGCACAAAGCTCTCACCATACAGGATTTTAGAAAGAATGCAGAGTACTAGCATGCGAACTTACCACAGTGTGGATTTTAGAACGTGTACAAAGACTTAAGTACACACTTACCATAACATGGATTTATAAGTACCGTTCTAAGGGGCTCTCGTGGCACTCTGAAAGAGCAGCCCATAGATGGAAATGGTGCATCCCAGAATGCTATGTTTGAGAAGTCATCAACTCGATCTAAGGCTTTATAATGCTGAAGTGGCTAGCAGTAAATCTCTAGTTGAGGGAGCAAACGCCAAACTCTCAATCGAGAGGGGGCTCGACCTACAGCATGTTCCAATGCTGGAACAGCTAGCAGTTACTAAGCTGAGGGAGCAACACTCTCAATCGAGAGGGGGGCTCGACCTGCAGCATGTTTCAATGCTGGAACAGCTAGCAGTAAGTTACCTTAGCTGAGGGAGCACAACACCCAGCTCTGAACGAGAGGGGGCTCGACCTACAGCACAATCGTTAGAAATCAAAAGGATAAGTGTACTGCAAGCTAGCCAAAAAACTCAGCGCATCAGAGAGGCAGAGGAATGGCCTAGTTCGCCTGATGCTGCTGGTTCCAGGTGCTCTGGGAAAAACAGAGAACTCAACTCTCACGTGAGAGGAGAACTCCGAATTCAGAAAGGAGTAGCGTGCTCATAGGCAACCCTTTGATAAAGGGGCGCACTGCTAAACACTACCACAAGAACAGCCCACGGAGCGAGGAATCCAACTCCTCAGAAGGGAGAGAATTCAAATGCTCGAAAGAAAGCACCATGCTCGCAATAACCCTCAATGGTGAGGGGAGCAATGCTTCAAAAGTGTGTCAACAGAGACACACTGGTTGAGTGGAGCCCAAGGTACCGGGGTCTAAACCAACTCAGAGAAAGGGAACAAGGCTAAAACCGTGTAACCCTTACCATACATGATTTCGGAAAAGTGAGCAAAGTATAACGTGCACACTTACCACTATGTGGATTTTAGAAAGTGTGCAAAGTGCTAACGTGCCCACTTACCACTATGTGGATTTCAGAAAGTGCACAAAGCTTAGCGTGTGCACTTACCATAGCATGGATTTAAGAGCTTCCCAAGCATCTGTTCACAGATACCCAGAAGTACTGAGCCAAACGGGAGAGGCAAGCTCAAATACAACCCTCTAAGGCGAGGGGAGCACTGCCTGAAACAGCATTACACAAGAAGGTTCTCGCAAATGCCACCTATACTTCCCGCTCGATGCCTCAGCAAGAGGGGATATCTTGGTGACCAGGAGGCCCCTCAGGGCGACCTAGATAAGGTATACCAGACTGGGCAGCCTGAAAGCATAAGCCCAGCCTGGACGTCCAGGAAATTTTGCAGTGCCGTGCTGGGGGCCTGATGATCAAGAAGGCTCCCGCAGAAGCCTGTGACCTGGCCGCATGATCCAGGAAGCATGAAGCCGAAACCAGGCTATCATACCGGCTGGATATCCTATCAACGAGTGAAGTAAACACTGCAAGGTGAGCACCCGGTTTCTGAATCCAACAGAGGGGGTGCTCACCGAGAACCTACCCTAGAAAAAGGACAGAAACACACAGGTCCCGGAAAACACTGCAAAGAAAGCTAGTAGATGGATTATACACATAACCACCTGAGCATTAAATACACACACACATATATGTATATATATTTAGAATTGGATCGTACTCACCCACCATGGTTCCCGCGCCGGAGCCCCATTCAGCAAGCGACTGAAGAAGCCTCTGGTCCGGACCATCAGTAAGGTGGTCACTATGAAGCCATAGAACCAACCAAACATCATAGGTCCAGCATAGGAGACTGTAATGCAGGAAGTTCCCACCTAACCTCGGTCAGGCGGAGAGATGGTGGTAACAGGGGAATTAGGAAAGGGAAGATAAGGGCAGATGTAAAACCCCCGAAGGAAATGAGTAGATACTGAAGTATC